AAAAAAAAAAAAAAGAGGTAAAAGACTCACCATCAGATTGGGTGGTGATGATGATATTCTCTGAGGGAGTGCCAGGTCCAAAGCGGTTGATAGCCAAAACGGAAACTGTGTACTGTGTGAATTTATTGAGTCCCTCCATCTTGTAGTTCAGCCCGTTGACATCGATGCTCTGAACACAACGCATACGAGGAATTAGCCTTGGTGGATTGAGCATAAAAAGGCCCGTTTTTGAAAGATGAAAAAAAATATGTCTCTTGGGCTGGCAATGACAATAAATGAGTTGACGAGCGACAGAATTGATAACTTCCTGCAGTGATTCGAACAACCAGCGTCAGACGGGAGAGGGGCGTGATTGAATGGACGGCCGTGCTGTTGACGGATACGAGTCGGAAAAAACGAAAGAGGAATTTTGTGGATGCAAAAAGCATGTGATTTCAGAAGGGAGGAGCGTGCATTGGGGAAGGCGCTGACCTGGTCCTTGCTTGAGAGGCTCTCTGTCCAGAGAATTCTGTAGCCCAAGATTGGTCCATTTGGAGCACTGGGGGGGTCCCAATTTACCTGGATGGAGGTTGGTGACAGAGCTTCGGCCCGTAGCGAGTCTATCCTACTGGGTACCTGGACTGTAGAAGCAAAACAAACCGAAAGAGGGACACAGCTTTGATTGATATGCAGCACATGTTACGTTTGCGTGGGTGCGCCACATTCAGACAAGGTTGTTGCAAAACATAAAAACGCTTCAAGAAGAATTTTTAATCCATTCAAATGCAGTGGAATCTCGACTGAAGGCATGTTTGAAGTTACGGCCCCATTTTTTTTTCCCCATACACAATTACCAAAGAGCCCGTCTGGAGTTCTGATTGACAAGTCAAAATGTTGGAAGTCTGTGTATTATATGGACAGCATTTATTGTATTGAGAGTTCAGTGAACCAAAACAAAATGGCTATTTTTCTCTTACGGTCTGGTTTGGTGGTGATCCTCAAGGGGGCGGAGCTTTCTCCTGGTCCAACGTCATTGTAAGCAATGACTCGGAAGCTATAACCCTCCTCTGGCTTCAGGTTGGAAACCATCAGCTCCAATGACTCGGGCTCCGACACGTTGACCGACCTCTCCCTGTAGCAGAAAACAAAGATCATTTGGTGATCAGACGTATCAAGATTCAAATTCTTTTGTCAAATAAGATGTTTCCTAATCTTTGCATTTAGGGCTGAGGTAGGTGGCCTGGACTGCCTTTTAGCCTGTTGAAGATCCCATAAAAAAAAAAAAAA